ACGAGTTAAGATCGATTAGGATGGCGGAAGTTCGCCTTTCACTCAACTCGCCTGCCCGAGTCCAGAGTCGAATCCGCCAGCAAACCCCAAGACCGTCAGTACAGCTGGGTATCCGCTACCCCACGTGCTGAGATGGACCTTCCCATCCCTCTCAACCCGAAGGGAGAGAGCACAGTACCCCAGGACCGTCAAACGGCCGCTCGCAGTGTGCACAGCGCGAAGGACTGGACAGGTGTCGAGTCAACCTGAGCATTCATAAATGCGACTCACCTCGGTTGTCTGAGCCAAGAGCTGGATCCGCCGGCACTCGGCAAGCTGGCTAGACCCACTCGAGTACTGTGCACCTACTTCACCGCCTCTCCTGATTGGAAAGGAGAAAGCACCGCGCTCAAAGCACGCCGGGCGGTCACGCACAGTACGAGTGATCGGACAGACACTTCATCGATCTGCGAACTCATAAATGCGGTTCATTAATGCTGGTCAAATCCACTCGGATAGCAGTCGTTCGTTGCCTCATATACAAGAATGGGCCTTCCCATCGTAGGTGAGAGGACATAAAGCACAATCCCTGGAATGACCATTCATGGTATCGAGGAGCAGCTAGACGTCTCTGAAGAAGATGTGGTCACATCCCACAATTCAAGGAGGAGTCAAGCTGTCCTTCTTCCATTTAAAAGCCCCTTCTAGCATACTGGAGGAGAAGTCGCAAAACTTAGAGAAAAGAGTTGAGACCAAGCTCTCTGCATAATCTTTGCATTGCAGCATCACTGTTTAGCTCCGAGCTCCGATCGCCGGCGAACTAAGCAGAATCGAACTCTATTGCCCCGAGCTTCTACTGCGCACTGAAGCTCTCCAGCAACCTCAAGGGAAGCAGACTCGACACGAGCATCGAGCGAAGCGTCCTATAGCCACCTAAAGTCCCCACACAAAACAAAGAGGGCTTTCCCTCTGCTTCTGTTGTAATCATTTGATTCGTTAGTTTGTAATAAGCTTTCTTATAAATACAAACAAACACTCCCTGTTTTCGAGAAATCAAATATTCACCCTACATAATGTCATATAATTTACCTCCATTGCTTTGTATGAAACAGCCGTTTATGATACTTTCATTACTGATACCCGGTAAGCATGCTCCGGGAAATGATATTGATGTCTACTTAGAGCCTCTAATTAATGAGCTAAAACAATTATGGTCTAAGGGTATTTTAGCATATGATGCCTATTTAAAAGAGTCGTTTAGATTACGTGATATTCTACTATGGACGATTAATGATTTTCCAGCTTATGCTAATCTGTCAGGGTACTCTACGAAGGGCAAGTGTGCTTGTCCTGTATGTGGTCCAGAATTTGAAGCTATTCAATTACCACATAGCCGAAAGAGTTGTTATTGGTTTAATCGAAGGTGGTTGCCCTTGAGTCATAAGTACAGAAAATTATCAGCTAAGTTTGATGGTACAGTTGAGAAAAGAATGAAGCCGCGTCAACTGACAGGTACTGAGATTGTTCAATTACTTGAGGGGTTTCCAAAAGTTGTGTTTAGGAAAAAACGCTATTCTAAATTTAACACGCTCAGAGTAAGAGATTACTTAAAGTTAAAAAAGCCATTGAAGCGTAAGCGAAAGGTCCGTAAAATGCAAGTTGAGGACGAAGCCCAAACATTACCTAGAGGATGGACTAAATTTAGTATCTTCTTTCAGCTACCTTACTGGCAGAATCTAAAAATCCGACACAACTTAGATGTTATGCATATTGAGAAAAATATATGTGATAACATAGTATCAACTCTCCTACAAGATGCAAACAAGTCGAAGGATGATCTACGGGCGCGCCAAGATCTGACTGCTTTGAATATCCGAAATGATTTGCAAGCTCAAGACGTTGGTCTTAAAAAATTAAAGTTGCCTCCGTCTCGTGTTACAATGTCAAATGAGCAGATGCAACGAGTTTGTGAAATTCTCAAATCGGTAAAGTCGCCGGATGGTTACTCTGCTAACATTTCAAATAATGTCCAGGTGCAAGAGAGAAAACTCTTAGGTCTGAAGACACATGATTATCACGTTCTTCTCCATCAATTGCTCCCTGTTGCAATCCGTAACAATATGGATAAAGAAGCGTCGAAGATTATTATTGAGTATTGTGGATTTTTCAGAAAATTATGCTCTAAAGTCATAGATGTAGATGACTTTAAGAAACTTGAAGCCGATGTCCGAGTTACTCTATGCAATATGGAAGTAATATTCTCTCCTTCATTTTTTACAATTATGGTCCATCTTACCCAGCATCTTGCAAGAGAGGCTAGAATCGCCGGTCCTGTTACTTATCGTTGGATGTATCCGATTGAAAGGTAATTTATGATTTTTCTTATATTTATTAATTGTATACGCGTTTTTCAAATTACCGTGCTAATAATTAACTTTTATGATTATAAGATACTTGGGCTGCATGAAAAACAATGTTCGCAATCGAGCTCGTCCCGAGGGCTCGATAGCTGAAGGATACGTGGCTAACGAATGCTTTGTGTTTGCATCACGTTACATGCGTAAGAAGAAAACCACATCTCAAGCACCTCAAAAGGAGAGGAAGCGTGAAAAATACCCGAGATCTCTCTTAGATCAAATTCATGCATATGTGTTGGAAAACCTTGATATGTTCGAAGACTATCGAAGGTAACAAATAAAATTTGTAATATAGATGAGAAATATTCATTTTACATATAGTTTATCAATACAAACTTATATATTGTTTATATAGGCGACATCTGGAGAAGCTTAAGAATGAAACAACCGGTAGGAATGCAGCGCACAATATTCAGAAAAGACATAAGAAATTTTTTTCTGATTGGTTGAGATTTGATGTAATTGTTTTACAATTAATTATTGAACATTCATAATACCACATCGCCTAAATATTCTCAAATTGTTTGTCTTAGGTTGAAAAATCACTTCTTGATGATACTATATTACCAGATGAAATTATTATCCATGCACAACGTCCTTATCACGAAGTGAGACGTTATAATGAGCATTTGGTGAATGGATATAAATTTCGAACGTTAGAGACAGATGATAGGAGGGTAACTCAGAACAGTGGGGTCATGGGCTTGTTTGCCCAAGAATGTTTTTCAAGTATAAGAGATCAAAATCCAATTCTAGCTGACATATTATATTATGGCCAATTAGAAGATATCGTTGAGGTAATTTACGGCTTTGGTAAACCAAAACAATGTACTTACACGATGTTCAAGGTTCGGTGGTGTCCTGCAAAAAAGCAAAAGGATCATTATGGATTTACACTAGTCAATCTTCACCGAGAAGTATATACGGATGAGAAATTCATTTTCGCAGAACAAGCTGATCAGTGCTTCTATGTGAAAGATCCGAATGTCATGTATGATTGGGTGGTTTTGTACAAGGAGCCAAGATCTGTTGTTCTTCCTAATAACAATGAAAAAAATATTGAAGAAAGTGAAGATAATTATAGTGAACCAATCGGTTCATCTGATGATGTTTGGCAAGAATTCTCTTACGCACAGAATATGGCGCTGGATGTAGGTATGAACCTGATATGTTACACCACATTATCGATTTTTATCTTATCATAATAAAAATAATAATGCATTTCATAACAATATATCTCATGAGCATGTATACAATTTTTTCTTAACGATTGTCTTTATTATATTTGCAGATGAGGAGGAGGATGAGGAGGCTCTTTGACCTAGAGGGTGATCGCTCACGGAGTATCACCCCAGGTAGTGGTGCTGATGATCCACTACCATCTCCGGATGCAGGTATAAAAATTAATTAATACTTTAACATGTTTTATAAATTTTTAGTTATCTAGCTCATAGTGTTCATTTGTTGTAGATGCTGGATATTCATCACCCGGCCCCTCTGATGCAGCACCAGAACCATCCCCCGACGCAGCACCAGAACCATCCCCCGACGCAGGTATTAAATATTTAATAATTGATAATGTTCAATTAAAATTTAATATTAATGATTCTTCTTTCTTATGTAGGTGCTACTTGGACCCCGACATATCCATCATATACATCCCATACTGACTTGTGGGCGAAGACACATGACTATCTCAGTTTACCCTTACCTCCGGACTCTCATAAGTCCAAGGCTGACTCAAGAAAGTACCACCCACGTGCTGCGAGAAGGTATCAGGAAATGCTTCCTATGTTGGAGACTAGGAAAGCTGTTGCACTCGCAGCAAAAGAAAGAGAGATAGCGAATGGTAAATTATATAAATACTTTTAATTTTCACATTTGTATATTATATGATATATTATCATGTTGTCATTATTGTAGGTGCTAAGAAGGATCGCATAGAGGGACGACGTGGCGGAGGTAAGCCTGATTCTAAACAACCGCCAAGAGGAATGAGGGGCATTATTAGGTGGAATAGTTCTAATTTGCCCGTTGGTCCTTGGTCAACCCGATTGAATGCATATATTGGGGTTCTCGTGCGTAGAGCGACCATTATCAACCCTTATTTTCATTTTCGAGAATTACCATGGACCGCATACGAGGCGATATGGACTGCGCTTATGGTAAGTGCATATTGTTTTAGATTTTCATTTATTAATAATTAGTAATTGATATTAAATTATCCTTACTAAATGTGTATGTAAATCTACAAGACTGCTTTTGCCTTGAGAACTTTGAGGGGGCTTGGAATTATGTGTTTAATGTCAAGGTTGAAGCAGTCCTCAAACAATGGAGGCATGAGATCAAACATGAAACCTATGACAGGTATGAGGAGGACTGGCAGAGGTTTTTAAACATCGATGACCGAGTTGACGAGATTTATTTTACGGCTCTCCTCATGTATTGGGACAGCGATGCCGCCAAGGTTAGTTTCATGAAATTTAGTTTATAATTTTAAGATATTATTTCATTTTATATTTACAGAATTTTTTTAAAGAATAAATCCACGAAGGGGTCAGAAAATAGAAGAAAGAAGCTGCATGACCATCACTTGGGCTCACACTCCTACGCCAATCTGGAGGATGTTTATTGTCAAGATACGGTATATGTCATTTAAAGATTTAAAAGATCTTAATGTTTAGTATGATTATGAAATCTCATAATTTATAATATGACAGGGGAAATCATTAATGCCGATACACTTGAGGGCCAGAGCGGCATATGGTACTTTTCGTGAACAATATAGGGGTGATGAGAGGAATCGGGATAAGATCACGACAAATCTCGAGTTAGTGGTAGACTTATACATATCTTGAGTAGTATTATTAATTCTATTTTGTTAAGATTGCGAGGAAACGAGAACACAAATAATATGGTCATTATCTTGAATTAACTATAAATTTGTGCTTTAGGAGGGAATTGAGACCGCATCCAAGGAGGCTGCATCTGTCTACATTTCGCAGGAGGAGGAACAAACCGAGCTAGACCCTCACATGCTTTCTGCAGAGGAGAACATCAATCTCACACAGAACCTGATGGGTCATAATAGGTAAGGATGGTGAAAAATCGAATCAATTTGAATACTACATACTATTTATATTTGTTTACCATTATTGAATTTGAGAGCAAAGTTTAATATTTATTTTTCCCTAATAATAGGAGAGGAAGATATCCTTTGCATGGTGTCGGAGCTTCACCTGGTATAAGCATCAGATCGTCCACAGCATCCTCCACACCATCTACATCGACGAGAGCAGCCACAAGCAGTTTCCAGGCTATGCCATTTGTCGCACGTATCTCTGCGTATCTGATTGACAAAATTGACCCGGAGCTGCATATTCAGGTGACTAATGAGATGACTAGAGTTGCGCTGATGGCGAACTCGATGGACGATCTCATGGGGTATGTTATATAATATTTAGGCGGTGCTATTCCTTATAGCGCGTATGGTGATGTCATACGGATCATTAGCTCGATTGGCGATAATTCCGACGCTAGACAGAGTAGTGCTTAGGTACCTTATTTTTTCTTATATTTATAAATTTATTTTTATCTAATATGTTATCAAACACCATATAATGATTATTCAATTAAACATTCAGAGTGGAGATATTGGAGGGAGCAGCACCCGTTCTCGTAATCGGGATAGAGATCCCCCCGCCGACGACGATGGATGAGGTTTTTTTATTTTTAATGATCAAACACCACATAATGATTATTCAATTGAACATTCAGAGTGGAGATATTGGAGGGAGCAGCACCCATTCTCGTAATCGGGATAGAGATACCCCCGCCGATGACGATGGATGGGGTTTTTTTATTTTTAATACAATAAACAGTTTTATTTGTTATAACACTACATTTATTCATGTCGTGTATCATATCTTAGTCACTGGCATTGTTAGTATATATGTTGTTGGATGTGTTTTAGATGGAACTGATTGATGTATATTTTGAAGTGGATGGTTGGATTTGTACAATGTGTTGGATTTGGTTATATAGATGTTTTTGAATGGAATTGTTATGAATTTTGATTATGATTGGATGGTTGAATGTGGCGTGTACAATATTTTCTGGATGTATTCAAATATTAATGTAATTGTACAGGGAAATACAAATTTTAATTAATTTTTTTTTCCTTGAAAAAAGGCAATCTAGACGGAATTCCGTCTAGATAGAATCAACCTAGACGGAATTTCAGTCTAGGTTGTAAAAAACCAACCTAGACGGCAATTCCATCTAGGTTGGCAACCCAGACGGAATTCCGTCTAGGTTGGCAACCCAGACGGAATTCCGTCTAGGTTGCCAACCCAGACGGAAATTCTGTCTGGGTTGCTAACCCAGACGGAATTTCCGTCTAGGTTGACAACCTAGACGGGATTCTTTATTCCATCTAGGTTGACTTCCGTCTAGATTGATCAATCTAGACGGAATTCCGTCTAGTTTGAAGCAATCTAGACGGAAGCAAAATAAATCACTCAAACTAGACGGAATTCCATCTAGATGACCTAATCTAGACAGAATTGCCATCAACCTAGACGGAAATTTCCGTCTAGGTTGATCATTTTTCTACTAGTGTGTTAGGGGACTATCCATAGTGGGATAGTCCCGTGTTCGAATCCCGCAGTAGGTGAAAAACCCTCAGGCCAACACCAGCCACGATGTGCGAGCTGGGATTAGTCCCGTCCATAATAAGGTGTGGGGATGCCTCGTGGAAAAAAATTAAGATTATGGACAAGGAGGAAACAGACGGAAGATTGTGGGACTGCATTTGTAAACTTTGGTCGCAGATGTTTAATCTAAAAGTTTTCAACTGATATGATACTGTACTGCAATGTAGGTTTGTGGCAAAATAAAGCTACAACTGATAATATGGGGATAACAGAGCATCATAGCAGAGATGCATTAGCGAGGGAAATAATTGAGTTGCTTTATAATGAATAATATTGTTAAATGTGTCTAGTTTCTTCTCCTTTTGACTATCTTTCATGTGTAGAATATTATGTAGGATAAAAATTTTGCCCTAGGCTGCGAGTATGATATTGGACCCGCATACTATTGGATAACGGATTCCTAATCTATTTTGGTAACATGAGGTTATTAGGATTTCTAATCTATTTTGGTAACATGAGGTTATTAGGCTTCCTAATCTATTTTGGTAACATGAGGTTATTAGGCTTCCTAATCTATTTTGGTAACATGAGGTTATTAGGCTTCCTAATCTATTTTGGTAATAGATTATCAGGATTCCTAATTTGATTTGGCTTTTGGTTTAGAATTCCTAGTATGTTTATGATTTTAGGATTTCTATATATATGGAACAATTGGAAGAGAGAATTTGGAGAAGCAAATTGGGGATATTTGGAGCACAGAAAAGAGATATATTCTGAGCTATTTGTTTAGGGTTTTGTTTGGAGAGATTAAGAGTTTTGTTGGTGAGATTAGTTTATCCATTCGAGTGATTTGTAATCTCAATTTGTACTTTTCTTCTCTATTAGTGAAAACCTCATCCCCTTCTTGCCCCGTGGACGTAGGCAACTTGTCGAACCACGTTAAAATTGGTGTTTTATTTGTGCATTGATATTTAGTTCGTTTGGCTCTCTTGAATTAGCGTTTGGTTTGGTTCCTCGACACAGCTTTTGGCATAATAAGTGATATCAGAGCTCGGGCTACGCTTGGGCTATTTGGAGGAGTAAATCGATTTGGGAAGCTCGTCTAGAGTTTCAGTTGGTGAGAAAGGTGGGATCTTTTCGTTAAAGCTTCTTTCTTTTCTCAGTTTTGGATCTATTCTTTGTTTGTTTTCGCATTGGTTGTTGGTGTGTTGAGGATTATGGCTGAGAAAGAGGGAGTTGAGGGTAGTTCTTCAGGTGTGAAGACTGTCCAAAGTTTGAGTATCCACTCGATGAAGATTGACGTGGAGAAGTTCAATAGCACTAATAATTTTAGACTTTGGCGATGCGAAGTCTTGGATATGCTCAATGCACAGAATTTGAAAGATACGTTAGAGTTGGACGGGAAACCGGACGACATTGATGAGAAGGTTTGGAAAAAGATGAATCGAACAGCATGTGGTGTGATTAGGTCTTGTCCCACTCAAGATCTAAAATATGATGTGATGAATGAGACTTCTGCGAAGAAGATTTGGGAGGTCCTAGAGAGCAAGTACTTGACGAAGAGCGTTGAAAACCACTTGCATTTGAAGAGGAGGCTTTATCACTTCCAATTGAAGAAGGGGACATCCATTAGTGATCACATGAACCACTACACGAAGCTTCTTACAGATTTGGCGAATGTAGATGTCATTGTTGAAGATGAGGACAAGGCGTTGCTATTGTTGAGTTCCTTGCCCGATGAGGAATATGAGACGTTTGTCCTTACTCTTATTAATAGGAAGGCATCTCTTTCATATAGTGAGGTCACCGCTTCATTAGTGAATTACCAACTCAGGAAGAAGGACAATGAGACTTCTATTGAGCCGGTAGCGGAGGCATTGGTTGCAAGAGCAAAGGGTCCAAACCGAGGTAGAATGTCACATTCTAGAGGAGCACATCTTGGAATTCATAGGAATCAATGTGTTTTTTGTAAAGAAGATGGACATTGGAAAGCTGAATGTCCAAAGTTGAATGATCAAGCCGGGAAGAATAAGGGGAAAGCTGTATAAGCTTCAGAGGTGAATATTATCAAGACTAGTGGTAACAATTCAGTTTTAGATTCCTCAGGCTACTCATTATCTGCACTCCCGTCAATTTGTGTTGCCTACTCTATAGAGTGGATGTTGGATTCGGGTGCTACATACCATATTTACCCTAGGAGGGATTGATCCTCCAGCTTTCAGGAGTTGAAAAGAGGGGATTTCGTGCTCATGGGGAATGATCACAAATGCTCTATTTGTGGTATCGGTACCGTTCGGATCAGGATGAGTGACGGGGTGATTCGGGAGTTGGTTGGAGTGAGGTTCGTTCCTCATTTGAAGAAGAACATTATTTCACTTGGAGCTTTGGAGGCAGCAGACTATAGGGTGACCTTGGCGGATGCACGCTTGAAGGTTACATTTGGGTCCATGATTGTGATGAAGACGTCCGAAAGAGTAACTTATACTATTTTCTTGGGAGCACGGTGATTGATAGAGCTCTGACGACTTCATTGGATTTGGCTAGATTGTGACTTTGTTTGGTGCTGGGGTATTTGATTGGTGATGTCGTGCATAGGTTATTGAGGAGTGCTTTGACCTGCAGATGGAAGTCCTTTGAGCTCATTGGGATGAGCAAGACCGAGGTGGAGTTTGGCACTCCTATCCATCAAGCGAGGGGTCTTTTAGGAGGTGTTCAGTTAGGCATTTGGAGGCCTTCTAAGGAGGCATCATTGGAAGGTAATCGTTTTATAGTTTTCACAGTTGGTGATTGTTCTAGGTATTATTGGGTCGCGATCAGTTCCCGTTGGTGTAAAGTCCTAGAAGTCAATAATAATTGGAAGAAGTGTATTGGCAGAAAGGTAACTCGTTGTTCTAGCTTTGGTAGGGGTCATTTCTTGCGTTTGTGCCGAGCTCACGGCAATAGGAGACACTTCATTGGTGTGGAGACTTTGGGGCGATAAGATGAGATGACAGTTTCGATAGGTCGTTTCTTTCTGGAGGAGGATCGGCGTTGGTTATCGAGCATTGGTTCTTGAGCTTCGACATATTTGGGTCATCTTAGTCATAGGTCACCGACTGCTGCATTAGGAGTTATTAGTGTTTTCGTTGAAAGTTGCCTTCATCATTGATTTCATTAGAACTTTAATCGTTTACAAATGAATTCAAATGACAAAAATAAAAATTACAACTTTCTTGAAAATAAACGCAAGGTCCGTTTATTGTCCCTTGCTTGCGTGGGTCTTTGGCCTGTGACGGGGACGTCGATATCCGTGGACTACCTGGCACTCAGATCTGTTCCGGAAAAATCGGACAGAGCTTCGTCGATCCGCGAGGAGATCTAGAAGCTTGAAGCGCCTATCTCGGCTAAAACGAGATATTTGCTCTTCTTAGGATTACC